GCTGACTTTTCTGGAGGCAATCCCCTGTGGATCCTTAATTCTTATATTTCCTGACAATTTTAAAAACACTGGAGTAAAACAACAAGGCTAGAAGTTTCTCAGAGTATGAACTACAAAATAGCACAGCCAGATTGTCACGAAACACCTCATTTACTGCACTTACAACCTATGCATCTATCTCATTTGTTAGCACCATTCATTAGAAGCATTCACAGTGCTGTGGAGAAGCCTTACTGTTCTTTATGTTGGCACAGGTTGCTTTCCTCCCAGATGGAAACATCACTTCTTGTATACATGGGAGAAGTCATGGTCTCACATTGTTTGCTGTACTTTAAGCCAGTATCTGAACGCACTTCACTCACTGGCTGGAAACACAGAGGAGAGACTCAGCATCAGCCCAGCAGCCAGATCTCTACATGATGTCTCTGTTATTGAAACTACACCTTAAAGCACCAGCAAAACTGGAGAGGGGCACCACAGCCAGCACTAGCCATCCTACACCAGGTTCCTTCTTTTCTACAAATGTAAGGCCAGGGAGCTACTTGAATACAGTTCTTTCAGTAATATATTTATAGACAAGATATTTTATCTCCACAAGAGTGATCGCCAGCCATATCAGCCATTTCCCAGCTGGCAATAACCTACTTAGAGAATCAAGGGCCAAAGGCAAATCTAGGCAGTCCCCAACAGTTAGGAGATGTCTATCCCAGGCACAGAATCACAGAATGGTTTGGGTAGAAGGGACCCTAAAAATCATCTAGTTCCAACTCTCCTGCCTTGGGCAGGGACACCTTCCAATGGCTCAAAGTCCCATCCAGCCTAGCCTTGAACACTTCCAGGGAAGGGACATTCACAACTTCTCTGGGCAACCTGTTCCACTGCCTCACCACGCTAACTTGGAAGAATTTCTTCCTCATACCTAATCTAAACCTAACCCCTTTCAGTTTGAAGCCATTCCCCTCTGACCTATCACTCCATGCCTTTGCAAAAAGTCCCTCTCCAACTCTCTTGTAGGCCTCCTTTACATACTGGAAGTTGCTATAATGTCTTCCAGGAGCCTTCTCTTCTCCAGCCTGAACAACCCCAACTCTCTCAGTCTGCCTTCTCAGAAGAGCTCCAGCCCTCTGATCATCTTTGTGGCCCTCCTCCAGACTCCTTCTAACAGGTCCCTGTCTTTGAATCATGAACGTCACTACAAATCAAGACAAATTATTAGCTGAAACAAATTAACATAATTGATGTCTTATCCCATTTCTTTCCCCTTAATGTTTTTCTAAGTAATTTCCTAGCTATTAAAGATTGACCTGCTAATTGCTGACAAAACAAAGCATGTCTGCAAGGTGTAACAGATTAAATTTTCAGCCAGTCATGCAGTTACCATCTTTTTTTTGGATGACGGCACTTTTCAGTATCAAGGCTTTAGTCTGCCATCTGGTGGATTTTCAGCATTTGGTACACTTAGCTGAAGTACAAACCCTGAGACAGAGAGATCCCTGATACACTGACATCTTCTTTGGTATCTACCTTCTTTGGCCAATGACAGTATTCATTCTAACAACCTGTATTTGCTCAAATGAGATGTTTGCCTGAAGTAATAACTTAATTCCTCTCCCATTTCCAGTCAAATGAGCTTTTACTACTGTAACTATTGTTAACTTTAGCTAACCCTTTACACTGATCGATTTTATACATAACTAAATGGTGACCCTCTCAAAAATAACTTACACAAAACTAGCCCAACAGAATTCCATATTTAGGACCACGAGCTGAGACCCTCAATGACATTTAGATGCTTAATTCTCAATGACCAAACATGCTAGGATTAGTCTCTATTTGAGATGAGGGTCAAATATACTGAAGCAAATCTGTCACCATACAACTTCAAACAAAACTCAGTTTGATTACTGATTCCTCATTCTGAGTATGACAGCAACAACTGTCATTAAAAATACTGAAGGGTTAAAAAACGAAAAATGAGAAGCCAGCTAAAATATTTGAAAAAAAATTCAGAGCACAAGTTTTGTACTGTATCCAACCTTTCTATGCAACTGAGGCATTTCTTCATTTCTCTTTTTTATAGCGCACAAGTCATGCAATAAGGAAGCTGGGATGGATTCAATTTCAAAATGCACTGAGTCCTTTGAGCACACAGTCCTACTGGGGAGTGTGTCTCCCACTCCACCACACACCGCCACAGGCACTCCTCCACTCTGCATGAGATGCAGTATATTCTGCCGCAGCTAAGACTTCCAGGATTTTAATACTGGATGCAGGCAGCCCTCTGAATGAATGAGTTGCAGCTGCTACAACAGATCATCAATGGGCAATTGGGTGAGCTTTCTACTGAACATACAATGTCAATCCAGAAACCTGGATGGAAGATAGCAATCACTGTATGGAAAGAAAAGACAAGCTGGGAGGTGCTGAATTTGTGGTTGTTAATGAGTCTCCTTATTGGAGTCTGGCCTTCCTTTCACAAAGAAAACAAGACAAACACAGATAAAACAGAAAGGAAAAGAACAGCAGTGATTGCAAATGCAGCTTTTGGGTTTGGTCCCTATTGTTACTGGCAACCTGACTACTAGAGACAAACAGGCTCAGCACAGTCTTATCAGCCATCCTGAGACTTGGCAAACATACCAATGGCTGTGCTGTTTTAGACATTGATTTTATCTGCCTTTTTAGACATAGGCTCACAGCAGTGCTGCTGAAAGGTCATCCAAGACAGACTTTCTAAGCTGAAAGCTAACATCAAAAAGTGAAAAGATATACAACTAGGGAAGAAAAAGAAGACAAGAAATGAACAGAGGGAATCAACAGGACTTAAGTGTTATGGTCCAGAGGGTTTCAAGAACTGATCTGTGGCTGGGGCAGCTGGCAGCTGGATTAAGATGTCTCTCTTTCATCAGAACATCTTTTACAATCAGGTAATGAAAGCCCAAGTCATACTATGGGCCTGAAGTCTCTAGAATAAGACAACACCGCTTTTGGTACAGTTAGGCAATCTTGCATCAGCAAGCAGACTGACCTGACAGGTATGGACTCACAGAGAAAAACAGCCTGTGCTGTGATCAGCTATCTACAGTAAAAGAATTTCAAGAAAGCTATTTTGAATTAGCTCTAGCCTACCACATAGACTTAAGGATCATTAGGATTTAAAGTTCCTTCTCCAGATTACTTTAGCCTGACAGCAAATGTGGAGGTCCCAAGAGCACTGTGCAGTGAAGACCAAGCACAGTAGAAGGGATAAATGGAGATTCAATTAGAAAGTACAGTCCAAAGAGATCACCTTGGATTGTTGCAGGCTCAGAGAGAGAGAGCCTTTCCAACATCATTTTGTCCAACCTGACTACAGGATGAAAGACAAAAGTCCACATTTTTGTTCATGTTGCCTTACCATCTTATTCTCAGTTTTTATTTTAAGAGCAGATGTAAGGTTTTATTATCCTGGATAACGTTGAGTAGAGCCCTTTGTGTATTATATGTTCTCACTGCAAACTAAATCCACTCATAAATAAGAGTTATGAAACATATATTTCTTTTAGGAATAGAAGTGCAGGCAGTTATTGAAAGCACATTGCAAGGTTTAAATATGATTCAAATAGATGAAATAAAAAATACAGATATTTTTTCCAGAAAGCTAAGTGTATAACATACAACTAATTTCAACAGACATTAAATACCTTGGAGGACTAAAGCCACAAAGGAATACAGATTACAGTAGTTCAAGACATTTTCTCTTTCAATTTTGCAAGTTTGATATGACATCTGAAAGCCATTTTTATGTCAGTTCTTTCACACTAATGCAACTTTACTTACAGTAAAGTACTGCAAATTATACCATTTATTTTACTTGTGAAAACTAACCATGTCCTGTCTTCACAGTACATTCAGTCAAAGAAAACCTTCTGGTGATGTAGTATTTCAGTCGTTTCAAAAGTTTTTGCATCTCTTAATGTTTTATAGGGAGTTCAAGGATTTCTGGTATCTGACTGAAGCTTGTTTTCACAGAACAGTGTTTCTGAGGCTTCCTCAGCATTAAAAAAACCACCTTTAATGAAACTGATATATCAACCCTCATGTGGATTCAAACGGTGTGAAAGTGTATATTCCTGAAACAAATTAGGTTGATATAAATTAAGATTTAAATCAATGAGATTTAAAACCTTTTCAAGTTTTTTGCACCAGCTCAGTGAAATCAGTTTAAAGTAAAATCTTAAGGCGGTACTGTGCACCTTTAAGTGCATGTAAAGTTTGACTTTTCTAGACAAAGTCTTCACTAACCAATAACAAATTCCATCAGCTACAACAGGACAAGGTTTTTATTTGTAGTGCTGCAGCTTACTTTGTAGGTCATTGCAGTGATCAGTGCGCTGGCAACCCTTTTTCTGATTTTTATAAGTTTTATCTTTTTTCTCCTTCTGTCTTCTAGTCTGTGGTTAATCAAAATCATTATTTATTTTACTTGTGAAAACTATCCATGTCCTGTCTTCACAGTATGCTCAATCAAAGAAACCTTCTGGTGATGTAGCATTTAGTTTCAAAGGCTTTTGTATCACTGGAAGTGATGAGATTTCTAAATTTCTACAAGTAAACTTCTCGTTATACGCAGAAATTAGACCCGGGCAACAGGAAACAACTTCTGTATTCTGAAAATTGCCATGTAAGAAGAACGCCACTTAAGGTAATTTGTCAGTGCGTCTTTTGTCTAAATCACGAGATGTTCAATTTAAATATGCGATGACATCGTAACACACCTCCTGTCCAAACTACCAAATGTTTGATTTCGGTTCACGGGACAAACGGATGCAAAAACCCGTTGAAAAGAGAAAACAGATGACGCCGGCACGGAGGCACGAAACGGGACACCCGAGCAGGCACACGTGGATCGCGGGATGAGGCGGGGCGGCCCTCGGAAGTTCGTCACTGCCCGCGGCCGGGTCCCGCCGGATGGATGGCGCCTGACGCCATCGCGGGGCGCCGGCCGTGCCGCCCGCAGCATGGCCGTGCCGCGGGAGCCGCCGCCGCCCGCCCCGGCGCTGCCGCCCGCCCCCGCCGCCGCCGCCCCCACCTTCGCCGCGGCCCGCGGGCTCGTCGGGCGCCGCTACTCGTGCCTGGTGGTGGCGCCGCACCGCAGGCACGTGGCGCTGCCGCCGCGCTTCCTGGGCCGCAAGCGCTCCGGCATCCGCGCCCAGCTGGACGCGGAGCTGCTGCGATACTCGGAGAGGTGCGGGCGGGGTGGCGGGCTCGGCGCGGGGGGACTCTGTCCGCACTAACAGCTAACGGGGCCCGCCCCTCCTTCCCCTTCCAGCCTTCAGGGTGTGCCCGTGGCTTACGACAACATCAAAGTGGTGGGGGAGCTTGGCGACATTTACGACGACCAGGGATTCATCCACCTCAACATCGAGGCGGACTTTGTCATCTTCAGCCCCAAGAAAGGGAAAAAGCTGGTGGTATGTAAATGCCTTGGCGTCTCACGGAGCGGTTTTATTTTTTTTTTTTTTTTTGTTAAGTAGTCAAAGCTTGATTCATCTCCAGCGTCAAGTGGTCGGGAGCTTAGGTGGAGATATGTTTTATTCGTGTATGACTAGTTAATAGCAATTTATTACCAGTTGGTAGCGGTAGTTTTTATTTATCTGTCTGTACTGTCTGTCCCTAAATTTGTTAAATTTATGTATAATTATATATTACCTAAAACATCGTTGCATAAGTATTACGTATTACTGTGCCATAGTCGTGTATATCATATCCATGCTTCTTTGAAGAGCCCGTAATTCTCAAACAGGTGTATCTGTTATATTGACAAGAAGGTTTAGAATATTCTCATGAGTTTAGTTCCTTCATTTACAAGAGCAATACATTAAGTTGAAGCTTGCCTTCAATAAAAGGAGATGTATGGCTTACAGAACAGCTTATACCTTGTTAATACCCTTGCAACAGTACTTTTGGGAAAAGTGAGTTGAGAGTTGGCTTACATTCGTATTTATGCCATACGTTTTGCAGCATAGCTTGTGTCTTTCTAAATGCGTTTAAGAATGAAGAGAATGAAAACATTTTTGGTATATGTCATTCATTCTTAGGCAAAACAAAGGTGAATATCGTTGCACATGCAGATGTGTCAGAAGCCCACTAAATGGAGTACTTAAAAGCTTCCTGTGCATCTTCTGTATCTTCAGCTGCTAAGTAGTGCTGTGCCAGCCTGAAGACCTTTTCAGAAAACTAAATCAGACTTAAAATGGCTTCAAATCAAAGTTGATCCCTGTAGTGTGAGGAAAGAGTTACCTGCTCTATTCAGGTACTCACTGTGGCTAAATCCCATGTTTTGACTTTCTTTCTCTTGCAGTTGAGTTCTATTTTCAGAGGAATTGTACGAAGAGCATACAGGAATAGCTTTGATTTTAGTGAAAAAGAGTTACCTTATTTGCTTGAAAAACTGACTCCATAACTTGTGCATAAACTCTTGTTGAAAAATGTCCATATAGGAACCTAAATATATATTTTGTGCATTTAAAGGGCTGGTCTTTGCTATATCTTCACATGACATTCTTTTTATTTTTTAGGGTATAATTAATAAAGTGGCCCCTAGTCATATTGGCTGCCTGATACATGGATGCTTCAATGCATCTATCCCTAAGCCTGAACAAATGTCAGTTGTACAGTGGCAAGAGCTGGGGTTAAAAATAGGGGATGAACTGAAATTTCAAGTGTTGCACTTGGATTCCGATACAGCTGGGGTGTTCTTCATTCGAGGAGGACTCACTAAAAAAAGGTATTGTGCCCTGATAGAGAATATTTTTAACTGTTTTAATAGGTCTGTTGTAAACTAAATTATTTTAATTACATCTTAATCTTTAAGCTTTCTTATTTTTGTACAAACCCATGTCTGTATGTAATTTGTGTTAGGTATTTTAAATTAAACTTTCCACTGTTAAGGACTTGCATGGAATTTTGCTCTGGAAAAATTAAAACTAGATTTTTTTTGAGCTTTAAAAATCCGGGTGTGTTGACCTGTGAAACTGTTGATTGCGTAGATATTAAATGCTCAGAATAACACCCTGAGATATCTAGAGTAGCTGTGTTAACGAATGTGCATAGGCTTTTCAAGTGAAAACAGCTGAGTTTCTGAACACAGTGTTTACAATGACATTTACACACAGAGGTGTGTGTATATTGCATAATCACAAATAGTTAGATGTGGATGACTTGCTCAAACATAAGAATTTCAAAGACGATATAAGAAAATGCGTCGCCTTCCTCCTTAGGCCTCTTTAAATTTTTAGGGCAGCTTGCAAAAAATTTTGCCTTTAAAAGAATTCATTCAGATTTTTTTTTAGATCAGTCAGTTACTAAGCAGTGTTTTTCTGCCAACATGGTTATGTTTTTAATTAAATGTACAATATGACTGCTACTCAGAAATCCATAATATTTTTTGTATCATTTTTCCTTTTTTTAATCTAGAAGGATTCTCTGAATTGTTTCAGTGAATTTACAACAAAATTTTATTATTTTGTCCTTTGCGCCTTTTGGGACATCTCCTCTTCCATGGTTTTAAACTGCATTCTTTCCATATTTATCTTCCTAGACATTTTCTCCAGTGCTCTTGAGTTGCATGATACCTGCTGGGTTTTTTGATTTTGTTTGGGTTTTTTCTTGTTTCGTTTGTTTTTTTAGTTTTCTGGCATCACCTTTGTTTTAATTGTTTAGAGCAGTTATCAATTGCTTGGTAAAAGCAGAAGTGTGTCTCATGTATGATTGACTATTTGTTGTGTGTATTTGTGAAAGAATTAAAAAACCAAAAAAGCTTTACTACGTGATGTGTAATTATGAATTAGGGGATGAAAAAGGAAGTATTAAATGGTCTGTACAGTGTTTTAGAGAAGAAATTTAGGCTAAGATTTGAAAGAATATTCATTGTGAGGTAAGAAGGAGGCTAGTGAGGTAATAAAAATTACTCTGAAAGTATTAAACTGGCTTTATAGTTTTCTGTCATTAGAGTATCATGCTCTCCATTTGTTGTTATTTTTAGCAAATTTTTCTCTTTTATCTACTTGGTGTAAATACTGCATTTTAGCGAATTTTGAGATTCTACTGTGTGAGGTGCACTAACATGTGTTTAAATTAGTTTATTTTGTGTATTTCTTTTACAGCATGCGGCCCAAACGATCTGAGACCACTACTGACAGTACAAATGGGAATGAAATTCAAAAGCTTGACCACCAGGAAAATGGCTTGAATGACTCTGGGGAAGATAATGTAACAGAAGAGCCTTTAAATGGGACAAATAACCTTGGGAGGGAAAATGAAGAAGGGCAAAGTGTTGATGCTGTGAATGGGTTATGTGATGAAACAGGCAAGAAGAAAAAGAAAAAGAAAAAGGACAAACAAGAACAGGAACAGGTATTGCCTACCAGTGACTCCAGTGGTTACCAAAGTGACCATAAAAAGTCAAAGAAAAAGAAAAGAAAGCATTGTGAAATTGAAGAAAGTGAATTATCTCAGCTGTCAGAAAAACCCAAAGCTAAAAAGAAAAGGGACTAAAGCCTGATGTGCCTTTCCTGAATTAGATTTCAGACATGTTTTGTAAGTTCCAATAAAACCCTGTTTTCAAAATGCATATGTGTATTTCTTTACTAAACAGTCTGCTCTGCAGGGTTGGATGATGTTTGTGTGCATATGTCCAACTCCTGCTTGAAAGGCAGGAGCTTTTAAAGAATTGATAGAAGAAATGGAATAGAAGCAATATCTGCCTTTTTTATTTAATGAAAAAACAAGGCACAAAAGAAACATGGAATGTAATTACAGGAACATGTGCATCACCTCTGCATCTGCTTTCCAGTTCCACACATTAGTCGCTAGGTAGTTGTGATGTTTGCTACTCTGATTCCATCTTTGCCACTTGGCGTCTTGATTTTATGAGAGTAGATTAGGATAACCTTTGGGATTCTGGGAAATATGTGTGAATTCCCAGGGGTTGAGATTTTTTTTTTTTTAAATGAATGGCTGTGAATGAAACTGTAGTTTGACTTAAAGGTTACACAAATTTTAGTGTCTGGGATCTTTCAGAACACCTTTCATGGTACTCTAGGAAAAAGAGTATGATTGGTTGATTCATAGCGAACAGGGAAGACTGGAGATTAATGTGATCCAATGTGATGTAGTACCACTTGCAAGTCAGAATACCACTGAGGTACAGGTTGATAAAGCAGATGGGAATGGGACAGGCTTTGATAAAGCTCATTTTGAGCATCACACTTGCTGACTTTACAGTTCCCTTTAAAAAAAAAAAAAAGCTAAACTGCAACGCAACTCCCAGCTTGTTCTAGTTTTAACTTTCAAATACTGCTCTCTAGGGTAAGAGGCACCTACTGTCAGATTTTTCCATACTGTTGGAATTAATGTTAGTGGCAGGTTCTGACAATGAGAAAATGACAGTCAAACATTCATAAATGTGCCTTTATAAAGAACTAATTTTCCTGGTGTAGATGTATATTGTTTTGAGTATCAGTACTTTTGGTTGCAGCTCTTTTCTATTGTGAGGAGTTCTGGGGAGAACTGTAGTGTGAAATGGTCTAAGTCTTTAACTGAGGTAGAAGGCAATGGTTACATTGGTATTGATTTACCTATTACAAGAAGAACATAACTGGATCTTTGAAAGCCTTGTAAACAGTAAATAAACAACATGAGTGTGGGAGCAGCAAGTTCATCTGTCTGTTTCTAAGTGACAAAACATTCTGTAGTAATTAATACTGATGCTATTAGCTCACTTTAATAGATGTGTATACAGCTTCTTATAACATGTCCGCATCAAACATGACCTGAATTTCAAGTGTGACAACGGTTGTTTTAGGGCTCACTTTGTGCTATATTAATGTCTTATGTACATCTTTAAAGCTCCAAATTTACCAAGACAAATCGAGGTTACCATCTTACAGACTTGATGGCCTGGCAATACATAGTAGGCATTTTAAAGTTATGACACCAATAAAGAACAAAGTTCAATTTGAAGACTTGTAGGAAGGTAAGCTAGCTAATGGCAGCAGAAACTTCTCTAAATCCTCTTTTGCTTGCTCTTCAGAGTACTTGATCTTGAAGCTGGTTTCTGGACCGTCCTGAGATGAACATGAATTGTCCCTGTTGTGTCTCTACATATGATGATGCTGACACTTGATCTACATGCAATTTTAGGGACGCTGGCTCATCTATGTATTCTTCCTGTACTGTGACAAAATCTGAGGTCAGATGATGTTTGTAATGTAGTTGTTACAGCACAGGGCGGTATTCTGGTGTGTTAAGTGATGCAGAGAATAACACAGAAGTCCAACACTGTACTTAATGTACTTAAAATTTAGATACAGAGAACAATCTGAATGTTTGGACATAATTTACAGTAAGAAATTATTTGCCAGCTCCCCCTTTACAGATATTTATATATTTATATAATGGCTTGAAGGAAGAAGTGGGATGGGTGGGTATGGAGGACATACCAGAGAGGAGGATGGCAAGTGCAGACATTTTTTGTTGATGCTGATGTGAAGAGAATGATGGAGGGAGTTGCTATTGCAGATGAACCAGAGACTGAGTCATGCGACTTTATCTCTTACTCCTTAATAATCATTGTATCTCACTTTCACTTTTAGGGGAGGGAAACACATCTCCAGCAGAACCACTGCTGGTGAGTCAAGCCTCACTAGTTCGTAGAACCAGTTTGTAGCACCAAAAGTTTATCTTGGTCTGTTCCAGCTTTTCATCAGCAAGGAAAGAAAGGAGACATTCAGGGGGAAGAACTGAAGTTGCAACTAATGAATCAGGTAACATAGGTAGTATAAATGCTTTCAGAACTTTGAATGCTCTTCTTCTACTTCTGGTGCTTTACCATTCCCTTACTGGGAGTTTCTTACTGTAACAAACAATGCAAACTGTTTTGTTGATGATTAGTCTTTTCTGAAAGCCTACAGTAATCTCAAGTTTTGGGCCTTAACTAGAGAAAGGTTGTTTGGTTTTGACACAGAAGTGTGGCTGACACCCACTTGTATCATTTATCAGTTTTCTTTCTTGGGTTACAACAAAAGAGAACAATTAAAAATAAATGCAGGAGCTGACAATTAATGTTTACTGAACAAGTTGTTGCTCCAGTGTTACAAATACCATAACGTTACATTAAATTCTTGCTAGATTTTATGTCTTTGGAAGGAGAAAAGTGAAAAAAAGACTTGAAAAAAGAAGAAAAAAGTTCTTTACGCAGTTGGAGGCAATATTGGCAGCCTCACAGCTGCACTGTTGATGTTGCTGTAGATACTGTTTCTGCATTCTCTAAATATGGCAAGAAAACTTGGATTTTCAGAAGTTAATTGTCATTCTGATTATGACTTAAATCAATTCTCTTTGTTTTTCCCCTTAAAAAAAGCAAGATTTTCCAATGTTTGAAACTAACAAAGAAGCTGAACTTGACACTTTCCGTTAAAGTTTCTCTGAAGTTTGATCTCTATAAACGTTTAACTGTCTGTGTTCCCCTGGACTACAAATGAAGAGTTGTATTGAATTTTGAGTTGAGACAAGATTTTTGAGTATAGAGAACAGACATTTGTAAAGCTTCCCATGAGGCCAGATGACTTCATATTTGTTTGCACAGCCTTTCTGTTAGTTTTTTTCGGGGTGCATTCTAGTACAACTTGTGTCACATAACAAAGAGTAGGTTAGAAAGGAAAATTGTATTTTGTCCTATAAATATATTGATAGTTACACCAAGGTAATTGTGGTCTGGGTTGTTTTTTTTTTCCTGTTTGAACATGAAGTTCACAACAAAGCCAATATTTACATTTGGCTGTGGTTGATAGTATTTTGTCTGTATTATGAAGAATGTAGTTCAAACTTAATCAGCTATAAGTTTCTAAAGTAGGAACTGCTACTTTGTAGTATAAATATTTTGATTTTGCAAACGTTTCTCAGTGTATTGCATGTCTTTGGCAGAAAAGCAAGCACTCTTACAAGGAAGTATTTTTAGCTCTCATTAAAACAATTGTTTTGTACTCTCTGAAGCTTGCAATGATCTGCAGTGTTAGCTTTTGCTCTTTGTCTTTTCCTTTCTTCTCTTAGAAACAAATTCTTTGCTTTTGACTTGGCACTTTGCTGCTGCTCAAAATACACAGCCCAAACAGCCCAGTGGATTAGCTCTAGGGAAAGGATTTTTTAAAGGGCCTAAGTAAGCTGGCTGCCTTTTGGAAAGCATGAGCCTTGATCAAATCTGCCTCTGACTAAACAGTTTGCCTATGGAAGCATCCCAACCTTTGATAGCCCTCAGACAGTACAGACCTTTGCTGTAAAAACCTGGGGGTAGTTGCATACTCAAACCCTTAGGGTTGTATTTTCTTCTGTATACCTGTGAAGAGGTTAAGTGACCTGATGCTCTCAGAATTATTATGGTTGGCTATGAAAGGACAGAAATAGTTTCATTCTAATAGGGCATATATTTTTCTTACCATAGTGTTCATTCTATTCTGCTATTAAGCTTTCAGAAACCCCGACAATTCAATAAAGCTTGAGGGACTTCAGTATCCAGTAGGCTTTGTTTATAAGGAGAAGATACTTTGTCTTCCAGATTCGTGTGAACAAAAATAAGGTTCTGAAAATAAAGCTTTACACTTCTCCAACATTGTCAGTAAATAAGTTTTTTATAGATACAACTCATGATTCTTTTGTCCTTCATCATGCTTTTACACATAACTAAGTTAGAGTTGGGTTAAATTCAGGTTAAATTGGGTGTAAGTCTTGTCCTAAGCCAATCAATTGACCTGATGTTATAAAGTCAGAAGCAATTGGAGCCTGGCAATGACTTCAAGTTCCCTGAAGCCAACTGTTCTAGGCAAAGAAAGAATAAGCTTTAGTTTTCCCACTTTAAGGACCTTTGCACTATAACATTGAATACATAGATGATCTCCTCTCATTTCCCAAACTGATATGTCTATAGTGTATCATTGCTGCTAGAACCTTTCTGTTTCAGCCAGAGACAGTTCATGTTGACAGAGAACTTATTTGAGAAATCTATCTACAGAAACAGCTAAAATGAACTTTCTGTACAGAAGGTGAGTGAACTGCAACAGTTCTTAGTACATAGCAAAGAAATCTTGTGAACAGAGGCAAGAATGTTGGTACAAGACTCATGATCAATATCTTCCTCTTTTATGGATTATATCAGTGTATTTCACATGAATAGAAGGTTGAGCTGTGACCTTTGGTCTCTGAATCTATATGATACTTAGTAAGAATACAGTTACCGAGATAGGACTATTGCACTTCAAAGCTTCCTTGCTCCTTATTCCCTGTGTTCCTCTTTCCTTTGTATTTTCTTTCACTGGTATCTTTGGTGTATGGGAACTTCTCCAAGAATATTCTTACTACACCTGAAATATGATGCCCCATTCAAGACCAGGATTTCATTGTGCTGCACAAATTGATTGAGGAGAACCATTTGTTTAAGAAGTTCTGGTAAGAGCCAGTCTGTCAGTACATGAGGTATGTGAGCTTCTAAGCAACAGTTGAGTTGCTTAGAAGTCTGGACTCTGAAAGAAGCAGATCTTTGTCAAATCCTTTGACCTGAGTTTCAATTAAAGTTGCATTCAGAAATAA